AATGTCCCTGACAGCCCCTCATAGGATTGTACGATGCAGCACAACTTCCAACCATCCCTTCGTTGTAATTTCTCATGCATACCATACCATGCAATCTGCAATTGAACCACTAGATGCCTGTTCCTTTAAGGGGGAACTCCTTAAAACCAGCTCATTTATCAATTAATTGAAATGTAAGGGTTTATGAGGGGTTAACCTTAAAAAAACACCTCAAATTGATAATTAATGGATTTGTCAAATATTTCAAATTAATGCTTGAATTAAGCCGAATGTCACATACCCCCTAAAAGTCCACTTAATTTCTAAAGCAAGAGCTTTTGAAGGTTAGTTGTCACATTTTTAAATTACTGCAAAATTAATTCTCTGGCCATGACACCAAACACCTTAATTTAGAAGCAGGTGTTGTGTTTTCAGGAGTAAATGAAAGATTTATTAACAGCATTTTAAGGGCATCTTGTGACTCTAGGTAAAATGTGTATAGAAGTAGAATGGAATACAAAAATGCAAACAAGAACAAAAGCTCACCTGAAACACAGAACAGTGTTTCCCCTCATGTGACTGTCCTCATTCATCCTGCAGTAGCTCCATCCATCAGCATTTGGTAGCTGTCAGTAAAAACATCAGCCTGAAAAAACAAAATCAATATGGTCCCCTCTCTGAGTCTGTCATCCCATTGTAGGCTTGTTAGTGTACAGACATATGAGGGCTGGTGCTCTGCTTTTCAATTTCCTGCCCTCTCATGTAAACCCTGCCATCTGGCTTGCCAGGGGTCTCATTAAGAACAGGTGTCCACTCCTAGGGGAGCGTTGAATACCACCCTGTCACTGTGAAATCGGACATGTGGAAAGCGCCCCGATCTAGGTAACTATCAGAATTAGTTTATTACAAGACTGATTTGGTCAGTCAGTCGATGCTGCAACCCACTTGGATATGAAAAGTAGCATGGTCCTAGTATGGCTTTTAGACTCTGCAGTAGGTATTTTTTATAAACGTCTTTTAAGTCATATTTGCTGAAACTTTCACTATTACCGTGACAGTAGCACGAGACAGATAATCTGTGAAAAAATCAGGCTCCACTGCCTTGTTGTAGCACTCCTCGTGACATTTGCCAGAATCCACCTGGCCTGAACAAAAAACCAATCAAAAGAAAAATAGTTGATTGTTGAGTTTCAGGATCCTCAAATACAGATGCTTTTGGGAATGAGACTCAACAATCAACTATCTTCAAGACTTCAACCCAAAGCATCTTTATATCTTTCTCGTCTCTGATTAGTTGTTCAGTTCAGGCCTGGTGGATTGCAAATGTCATCAGGAGGGCTACAATGAGCCAGAAGAACCATTTCTTCACAGATTATCTGTCTCATGTACTACTGTCAGGGTTTAGTGTAACTTAAAGCTGAACACTGCAGGCAGTAAGCACATGCACAATGCCGGGCTATCTATGTATGTGAATTTACGTATCTTACCCATTTGCCCTCTTGATTCAGTTGCCCCTCTGGAGGAAAAACAACAGGTAGGCTAGTTAAATTGTTATATGATCAAAACTACTTTTTGATAGGAGGTGAGAGAAAGTCATCTCCACATTTGCTTTCAGCAGTGCGCAGCTTGTCATGTTTGAATCCTATCACACAATATTGCCTTATATTATGCTATCACATGAACCAATTTTATCTAGCTAGCTAGCTGGCTAACATAGGCAGCAGGGTTAGGGTTTCTTTATCGGTCGCAACAATCCTTCAGAATGTCTGTGCATGTCGGCTGTAGGCAGAATAGTTGTAACACACCCAAATCAATGGCAGTGCGGCCTCAAAAGGGCAGTTCTGTTAAATAAATAGTTCAACATTTTGGAAAATACATGCATTTGCTTTCTTTCCAGGATAGAAATGAGAAGATTTAATCAATGTCATGTCTATGTGTAGTACAGAGCTGGAGTCAATATGTGGTAAGCCTAGCTTAGTATAAAGGCTAAAGCAGGGTAAAACAGCTAGCCTGATTCTGTCCAAAGTTCAAAACTACACCGAACAACACTTCTAAAGCTTATTAACACGCTGTATCTGGATTGTTTAACATGTACACTTACCAAATTTGTGAATTCAAGGAGAGTTATATGCTGGGACTATTTATTTCTAATGAGGTTTCCAGGTTTGGAATCAGGCTGATACAGAGGCCAAAACCAAACCTGTGTCACCAAACGTGTCTGGTACCTCATACTATAGCTGGTTACCCTTCACAGAAATGCATTGTAACAACTTCACTATTGAAACTATTTGACACTAAAATATATTTAATGAAAATTAAACTATGTGTGTGTGTGTGTGTATGAGTTTGAGTTTTTAAAGATTTACATCTGCAGTAGGAACCAAAAGGCTCGACTCTGAGTGCCTCTCTTTTTTTCTCAAAGAGAAAGATGAAAAATAGTCAATAGCAACCTTGATGACCTCTGGGAATGCATAAACACTGTGCATAGCAAAACAATCATCAGATTTTCCAGGAAGTGTATGCCAGTGTGTCTTCTCCACTGTTTGAGGTTTTCAATAGCTCCATGTCAAAATGAATGTGTGGTCATTAATTATAGATGTTAAAAAGCTGTAGTAACAACACCAGATGTGCTGCATTAGAATTGCATTATGGCATCAGACAGACGAGACAGAGTCAAACTGTTTGACTTAGATTACAATGACTTTGACATCATTGGTCATTATCTGGTTTGCGTCTTGCTGATGCTGACTAAACTGCCAACAATAATGATGAGATACTAAACTGCTCTCTAGTGGATTTTCCCTATAAAATGTCAAATAAACAACAAGAAAGACATCTGCCTTAAATTAGAGACAATGGACTTTGGCAGGCTTTGTAATTCCCAAATAACTGACACATGACATGTAAAAACACATTGTATAACAATATATTTGATGAAAATCTTCCATTTCTCTGTGTTTTGACTGTCTTGTGTAACTTATTGTCAAGCATTTTGTATCTAGATTTTTTCTTGTCTGTTCTTCATTACGGAGTGGTTAGGATATAATACTTGATGACTTGATGACGACGACGACAACTGCAATAGCAACATGGGGAATAATGAATAATAATAATAATAATAAAAACAATAATACTAGTAATATTGGCAATGGTGGTTAAGCAGGACCATGGCAGGAGGCACCACCAGGATCCATGAGAACCTGCGAGACGAGAAAG